GAGCCAGGTCCCTTTATGGGACTCTGATGGCCACAGGGAGGGGAACAGCCCCTCATCCTAGAGGGAACCCCCACAGATGATGGGACAAATGTGTTGGCACCTGGACCTGTGTGGATGCCAACACTTCGAGTTTGTCATTGTTCGTTAAAGCAAGCTCAGTTAGAACACAAAGATAGATTTGTCTTGTTTATCCTAGTGCAAAGCCCCAGGTGAGGATGTGTTTTTGGAGATGGACCATGTATATGACTCAGAGGAAACGTTCAGGAAAAGGCTATTGTGCTGCTACAGCAACCGCTAATTGCATTTGTGTAGTAAAATGCAATGCTGTTGACCCGTAGTGGCAATAAAGCTTTGCCTTTCCTCCACCTGATGTCTTGGCTGTAACAGATTACTGTTGCCCTCATGCAGCCCAGGCCACCCCAGCAGTGCTGGTGGGCACCAGAGTTTGAGGAATGTCTTGTTTTTAAGTTGCTTACAGCAGTACAGAAAAAACCCTCGGAGAGGGGAACAAGCATGTGCAACAAGTAAGAAGCTCTTGCCCAAGTGATATTTAAATGTCCCTTGGATTTGTTGTAAGGATTGAATTCTGAAGGCTTCAGAGTCCCTGAGTGTCCCCTAACAGGGTGCTTCTGTGAGAAAGCATGGTGGGGGTCTCAAGGTGAGGGCTCCCTGTATGGACCTGTCTGATGCCCAAGAGCGTCACTTCACTTCTGCCCAGGTTTGGGTCCTGCTCATGGGTGTCCAGTGACCTAGGAAGGCTGCGGTGCTGACCTGTGGTGCTTTTCCCTTTCCCATCCTTGAACTCCAGCTCCCCTCCCTCCCTGCCAGCCCAGGTGGCTCTCTTGTTTGCCATCTCTGTAACTCAGGTGTGAAACGGTTAAGTTTCGTTTTGGAAAGCTTGAACAGTCTGAGGTACACGGTAGCTAGAGCTGCTGCCATCAGCTTTCAGAGTAAAGAGAATTAACCATGCCTGTCCCATCAACTTTTGTGAAATTTCAACTAAATTTCCATATGTTTCTACATAGTCATCTTCTGCAGCTAATTGTGTCCTACACAATCCATCATGACTTTGACTTTGTTGCTTCGGTAATGAAAAAGTCTCCAGGTTCAAACAAATCCCCTATGCAGAGACAGAGGTACTTATTAATGTGCAAATTAAAATTATTTATGCTGAAGATGTCTGCAAACCTTTTTCCACCAGAACAGCAGAAAAATTGGTTGATCTGCATCAGTCGGATGGAGTAGAAGAGAGCCTGTGCTAGAAATAAACACAGACTAGCATCGCGAGCTGTAATGCAGCGCTTTAGGTGGGCAAAAAGTGTTAGTGATGTAGGGAAGAAGCAAACAACAACAACAAAGCATGAAGAAATTATTTGCTTCAAGGTTTCTCTTCTTTGCCATGCCAACGTGACTGCAAACAGTGTTTGCTTGCTCAGTGTTCAAAGGTCTGACGTTCCCTTTACTCTCCAACGTTCAGCTTTGGGCCTGGAGACCCATCAGATGGAAAAGTCCATGAGCACGAAAGGACTTTCGGAACGGGTTTTATTTAAGTCTTAGATTAGTATGGTTTGAGCCCAGTCCCTCCTTCCTTCCTAAATCTTCTCCACCATTGTGAAGAAAGGGGAGCTGGGTGAAGCCCAGGGGATCACCCTCCCTTAGACTTCGAAACGCGTAAACTCGCTGCCGATCAGTGGCTACAGGGGGATGCGCTTCTGGGCTGAGCCTTGACCTGCCCTCTCCTGTCTGTCCGAAGCTGTTTGTCTTACCTAGGCTAGGCTGGAAATCACAGCAAAATCGCCTAGTCCTGTGATTTTTGGCTTTGTGACTGAAGCAATCCCAAGTTACCTGCCAGTCCAGACTTGGGGTGATTTCTGCCTGTGCTGAGTCTATTTCCAGGGCCATCAAAGATTTTTGGCATTGCACAAACAGGTAATTTGAGTCAAGTGTAGGTGAGATTTAGCTCAGTGTTGATCTTTGGCCTGTCTCCCATGCTTGTCTTTCCATCTCCCTCCTCCTTTCCAGTGCTTATGGTTTGCAAGGTTTATTACAGGGGTTTTCTCATCTGCTAGGCTGAAAAAAGCTGATAACAGGCCAAAACTTCCAGGCTTCTCCCTTTCTTTCCTGGGACTTCTAGAGGGGAAATCCAAAATGACAGAGAAATAAGGTCAAGAAATAATGAAACATGGCTTAACACTGAATGTGCCGCTTAACCAAGGCAGATACCTACCATCCTCAGAAGATGAGAGCTGTAGTAGAGTGCAATTCAGATACATCCTGCAATTAAATCTAATACTTTAAGTGTGTTTCAGCACAACACTTGTCATGTAGGGACTGCATCCTGCATCTGTGGTGGCCTCCTACTTTTTTTTTTTTTTTTCCACTATTTGTGACTGAGCTCTGGGAGTTTGTTCCTGTGCCCTTGCAGGGGTATTGCCCTTGGTCACCAGCTGTGTGACAGTCCCTGGCAGGACTGGCTGATGCTCTGGGCTGGGCTGGTGCTCTGCCTGCGCTACTCCCTGCCATGGGGCTGTGTGCCTGGGAGGGAACCCCTCTGCCTGCCGCAGGCAGACGTGGCAGGAGCTCCAGGCTGCTTTGCTGTGCTGTGAGCAGAAGAGCTCGGGCAGTCCTGTGCTCCTCCGGTTGCTTGCAAGCAGCATGTGGGGAGACAGGTGAGCCAGGACAACGCCTTCACTGGGTGGCTTTTAGCAATGGTGCACTTGTCATGGTTTGCTTTCTTGGGGAAGCCTGCCTGGTCAGCTGATGGGGCATGTTTTACTGCACCCGCAGCCGCTGCTTCTGCCAGATCACCCAGGATGTTGTGTGTAAACCCACATGCACAGCACCCAGATAAGCTAAAGGCAAAGGTCTGGCACTTCAGAAAGCAGTGCTTAGTCTGAACATATTCTGGACCCTTCATGTTTTATGGAGGCTGCCTCACCTCTTGTTAGTGTATGTGTCTTTATAATATGTGTTTTTAAAAAATAGAAGGTTCAGAATTTCATCTGGAATGTCAGGAAAGAAGGTGTTGTGAGGATGTCTGGTATTTTTGCCTACCCATACCACCTCCAGCATTCAGGCTGTTTTTCACCATCAGAGCAGTCCTAGCACAGCCTGCATTTCAGAGATGACTCATTTCCCTTTCTGTAATGCTCTTACGTACTAGTGCTAATAATACTCCTACAAGTGGAAGTCATTATTACAGAGGACTGCTGATAAACTGGCTCATCCTACCTTGCCTCTCAGATGGTATCTCCAATGGTAGCCTCAATGTTTTATGTTCTGTCACAGAGTAATTTTGCTTTCAACCCTGGAATTTAATCAACTTCCAAAGATGTACCTGCATCCATTAGGAAACTGGTCGCGCTAACCAAACAAACCCACACAGTGGTTTCTGTGAGGCACTTGTTCCTTCAGCCTTTGTTTGCTGCGAGCGGCGTGGGACAGGTATTTTCTGCCTGCCCTATGTCCCGTACGTCAGGGTGAAGCCGGCGCGGGCAGGCGTGCCACTGGCGGTGTTGATGATAAGGTGGTAACGTGATTCATGTGATGAGGTATAAAGGATGCAAAGGCACCAGCAGTCACTTACCCATACTTTGGCGCCGGCTGGAAGCCCAGCCCTCCCCACGGCATGCCCTTTGCTGTAGAGAGGGGAATGAAGGAACGTGATGTTTTGGCTTTTTCCTGGTCTTGATTTGTGAATCCAGAATCCTGACGTCTTCCTTTTAACGTGAAGCCATTTTTTACATGGCTAGTGGGAGAAAGAGGGATGCAATGTGGTTGGTGACAAATGTGGCAGTGGATGATCATGCTGCTGTTCTGGTATATGGCTAACACCAGCATGTGTTATTTGATGTTATTTGAAGGATGTTATTTGAAGGCGCCTCCTTTGCTGGTGGAAGCGTGAGAAGCAGAGCAGAGAGCCATCTCATGCAGCAACTGAGCTTTCATGACAAGTGTCAGTTAACCTGATTTTTGTTTTTAAGAAAAAAAGTTTGCTTTGTTTTGTAGAGCTTCCTTTGCACATCTGGCTACACTATCCAAAGAGTGGAGGGTGGTACAGAAAGTAAATACGTTTTACAGGGACAGCCTGGATGATTTTTCTTCCCATCCTTCTCACTGTGGGTGCTGAGAGCCCACTGCCTTTGGGAAGAGGGTGCCAAGGAGCAGAAGATGTCAGCACGGGGGGGGGGTGCAATGAGTGCTGCTGGGTGGGCTGCACCTCTGGGGGACACTGGCCAGCTTTGCCTCCTCCCTCTGCTTCTACTTGCTCCTGCTTCCAGTGACCTCAGAACGTAACGCTTCCCCCTGATGTCCCTGCATTGCAGTGCTCGGTAGCTTATCAACGGAGCCCTCGCTTAAACCTCTGGTGTCCTGAGCAGCGCATGGAAGCCGTTGGTGGTTGGGGAGACAGGTGGGAGAACTGGTGCTTTGTTAATCGCTCAGTTTTCCCTCTGCTCCCTCCCAAGGAGGCCAAGGTGGCCATTTAAGTACCATGCTGGTGGTGGTTCCCAGTGGGGCTCCTGCAGCACCTGTGCAGTGGATGGAGTGGGAGCTGCCGGGAATAGGGGAGCTGGTGCTGGGAGCCAGGGGGACACAGCTGGGCAAGGCTCTGATTTGAAGGTGGTGGTGACAGAAAAACTGCTCTTAGGGCTGTTTGCTTTGCAGGAGAGGGGTTGTAAGGGATAGGGAGGAAACTTAAATGTCTCTAGCCTGGGGTGGGAGCCAGCTGTCCGTCTCACGCCATCCTGTATCAATGCATCTCGTCAGCGAACCCTCCTTTTGGTCCCACTTCTGATCGGGTTACAATATGGTGCAGTAAAACCACTGCTTTTTTCGCTGATCAGGATAATGGAAAATCCTTTAATAATGCAGGGGATAAATTCTGCGCTTGGGGTGGTGGATTTTGCAGGAAAAAGGGCAGAAATAGAGGTGGTTCTGAGGTGGGCTGAGTGGGGATTGCCTGTGCTGACCAACAGCCCTGCGGCCTGTCCTCTCCCCAGATAGTGATGTACATAGGCCAGGTCTCCAAGGACATCCTGAAGTGGCCCCGGCCCCTCTCACCACCTGTCGTCAAGCTGGAAATGAGGACAGACGCAGAGTACGGGATGCCTTCCACCCACGCCATGGCAGCCACCGCCATCTCCTTCTCCTTCCTCATCGCAACCGTGAACCAGTACAAGGTAGGAGGTACAAAAAGAAATAAAAAAAAAGGAAAAAAAGAAAATAAACAAAAAGAAAGCATGTGTCTGCTTCCAGCAAGCTACAGAAAACTCGCAAATACAAAGCTGTTGCCACTTCCAGAGGAGCTCTGTGTTTATTTTCACAGATGTGTATTTTTCCCTGTTGTTACCTGTAGCTGACTAATAATAGACACAAGAAGAAATTTAGCAGAAATCTCCTTCTCTGGCACGAACCCTGCTCAGGGCCGCGGGCGGGTGGTGCTGCCCTGCCCTGGGTTGGCGGGTTTGCCGGGTTTTCGCATGCGGGGTGACCATTGAGGGAGCTGTGGTGCTGCTGCCGAAGGTGCCTGGCATCAGCGTTTTGTGCTCACCCGTGCCCGCCAAGCCAATGCCACACAGCGGGAAGTGCCGGCCCCTGGGGAAACCACGGGAGATCTGTGTCACCTGTTTGTTTTGTGATGCAGGAAAAGCAGCCTTGGAAATCCCTTGGCTCTGACCTGTGTTAGACTGACAGCATACAGCACAATTTGGGAGCCTGTTTGTCAAAGAAGTGATAGCCATTCCACTGCACTGGAGCTGTTGGCTGCCTGGGGAGATCTCATAATTGTTTTCCCCAAACCTTCAGCCTTTTATCTTTCTGAAAGGTTTATTTCCTGGAAACTCATTTCTACATGATAATTATTTTTGTTTCATTTTACGAATCCAAAAACATTTTCTGTATCCTAGCAATAATAACTTCCTGGCTGCGTTGTATTTAAGTGTGTTTCTCAGCCCTCTCAAGTGTATTTCAAAGGTAAACCCATGTAACCAAGAGGTCTGTGCAGTTTGGCCGGGGGTGTCTCACTGGTACGGTGTCCCTGGGTGTCCTCCCCATGGTGCCAGCGTGTCTGCATGGACGATAAGTGGCCACCTATTTGACGAAAAGTGCTGAGTCCTGGGGCTGTAACTCATAGAAACAATTAACCTCCAGACTCAGCCGGTCCCAGCCATGAGGCAGTGGGCTTTGCTCCTGCCCACAGTGCAGGGATGAGCGAGCAGGTCAGCGGTGCCCAAAGCTGGGCTGCTGGCCCCTTGCTCCCTGGTAACTGGCCGGAGCAGCTCGGCGGTGAGATGGGGACGGGGAGGAGGAGCTGTAAGATGGGATATTTGGCAGCCCTGGAAGGCCAGATCCATCCCATGTGTCAGATTTGCCCAAAAGACCTGCTTAGCAGCATTTTCTCCTCCTCCTCGATCGATAAGCTACAGGTGGGACACTCAGCTCTTCATGGGCTGTCTCGTACTTCTTGGAAACTGCCATGAAACAATAAAGCTGCTGTAAAATAATTAAATGATTTAATTGCCTCTATTAAGAAGGAATAATCTACCAGTGCATTATGCTGCTATCTTCTAACGCTGCCCTAGTCATCAATTACTGAGCTGGACTAGCTCCCAGGCTGCCTGCTGAGGGGGAACAAAGTGGACATAAATCCTCTGAAGGCTTGGAGAAGCGAGGAAAAAATAGCGTTTTGTGAAGTGGGAGTGACATCTGCAGCCGAGTCCGAGCTCTATTTCAGAGGCTAGAGTACGCAGGGGAAAGGGGCAGAAGTGAGGGGTCATGCTTAAAATTTCCACAGCATTTTTGCCCTGACTTACAGCCACCCTGGTCAATCATCAGCCTCTTGATGGTAGATGGAGACTTTGTGCCAAATTGGGTGAATTAATTTTGTTTGTTTATATTTTGGGTTGGCTTATTTTTTTCAGAGAAATGTCCTTTACACACTGAAAGAAGCCCACCAGCCCACTCGGTTTCAGGATTTGAATGAGTGGATTAAGGGCTCATATGTCAATCTTATTCTTTATCAAATAAACGTGTGGGGTTTTTTTCCTTTTTAAATATTGATTTATTTCAACACTTCTTTCCAATTTCACAGGTGACTCAGAGGGGGAATTAAGCAAAATCAGCTTCATAAGACCAATTAAACGTCACAGGGAAGAGTGGTCCTGACTGGTCTACTAGCTGGGCTGCAGCTTCAGCCCACACCTTGATGGTCCCCTCCCAGCCCGCTGCTGGAGGACTGTCAAAGCCTCCATGTCCCCTGCAGGTGATCCGAGGCTGCTGTTCAGGCTTGGGCATCGCTCGTACAATGAGCTGTGTCCTTTTTCCTTAAGATCTTCAGCACTAATGTGAATTTTGCAGATGGATGTTGAGGAAAAACTCTGCAAACGCCATCTGTTTCCCAGGTTTCCCCTCCGCAGAAGTGGGCACGGCAGGTAATGGAATGACCTCCTGGCAGGGTTGTGTGTTGGCTGGTGCGAGGTCTTCTCTGGGCTCACAGGAATCTCTTTGGGATAGCACAGCTCAGGAGCCACTTCCGAACGTGCGATCCTTACGTCAGCCCGGCTGCTTGGATGTTTTATTTCAGAGATATACTGATGTTAAAGCGCATAACAGTGTAACGTGTGGGGTTTTTTTTTTCCCCTTTTTGCAGTACCCGTTTGAACTCGGCCTGGCAGCAGCGTTTGTGTTTTCGACGCTGGTGTGTCTCAGCAGGCTCTACACGGGGATGCACACGGTCCTGGTAAGACTGCCCTGCGCCGCTCCTGCCCCCAGCTCTGCCTACCTGAGCCCATTCCCATTTCCTGCTTTGGCCGTGCCGCCGCAAGAACGCGGGAGTCACCGCGGCGTTTCAGGCCGAGGGTTCCAAGGCAGCTGTGAGGAAACCCTCAGGCTATTGCTATTTGAATCCGCCGGGGAATTATTTCTGCCATTAGGGAAGCAGCGGGCGTGCGTGGGCAGAGGAGCTGGGTGAGGTCGGTGTGGCATTGGGATTGTACTTCTCTATTTTGAAATTTTAATTGCCAGGAATGCACTTGGGCAACTGATGCTGCTCCTTAGCTAAGCCTTTTGTGCAATAGTATCACTGTTGTCAGCGAGTAATATTCCGGGCTGGTTTAGCCTGGGAGTGTCAGGGAAGGAATAGCAGGTCGGTGAGTCATGCCTGGACCAGCGGAGAGGGTAAAACGTGACAAGCGAGCTGCCCTTGGGGACCAGGGGGGACAGCAAGTCTGTGTCACCACACAGGGACATGGCACTTAAAAGGATATTATGACAAGCTTCTCATTTTCAACTGGAAGGAGCTTCGTTCTTACAGGACTGAGATGCACAAATACTTTGTCCAAAAAGAATCATAAAATAACTGTGACTTTATATGACAACCTTGTTGGGCACAGTTGTTTAGAGATGTCGGCCCTGCTTTGAGAACAGATTTCCGTGTGACTTTGATTAGGCAGTAGCTGGTTCCTCCCTGACAGGAGGAAAAATTATTGATTTGTTACCGCTCAGAGGGGTGGTCCAGCTTCCCAAGAATGGATGAAAACTCCCAGCTACTTCCCTGCAGTCATTTGATACACATTGTTAGTTGGTTGCCCATGCATGAATAATTGCATTTTTTTACTAAGTAATAATTATGTTTGCAATAAGGAGACTTGATGACTGTAAGAAAGGGAGCCCTTATGAGGTTATCTACAAAATATAGCTTGACCTTCCCTTCCAGGCCTAGTGAATCAAAACAGTATCTTAAATCAAAGCTGGAGACACCCCTTCTTGGCTAGTGACCTTAAGTCAATCAGTAAAAATTCTTCACATTCTTCCCTCACTAGTCTGTCATAATGAAAGACTCCCCTAAATTTAGACGGATTTTAGAGTAAAGAAGAAAAAGTCCTTTGTGCCTTTGACGTGATAAAAAAGGGCTTTAAAATAAAATAAAAAAAAAAAAAGCTCCTTTAGTTGAACTGTGAGCAATGCTGCCTTTCAAAAGGGCAAACGTGCTTTGGCAGGGTCTTCATCCCGGGGTCTTCATCCCGTGCGTGCCATGGTGGGGCCGGAGCTGGGGAAGTGGCTGGTGATCACAGCTGCCCAAATCCAGCCCCTCTCTCTGCGGCACTGTCCGTCCCACCCTCAGTGAGAGGTTCTGGCATCCCACCTGCTAGAACAGGTTCTTGGGGAAGAAGCGTGGTTTGGAGCCGTTTGCCATGCTTTAAGGGACGGCTACCACCCTGAGCTGTTGGAGCAGCTGC